ACATTCAAATGGTAGAGTCAGAATTTGGCGTAAACAGAATGAGAACATGGATCCATCATGCCTTGTTACCACTGTGCAGGCTGCTGGTGGTGGTGTAATGGTGTGGGGGATGTTTTCTTGGCACACTTTAGGCCCCTTAGTGCCAATTGGGCATCGTTTAAATGCCACGGCCTACCTGAGCATTGTTTCTGACCATGTCCATCCCTTTATGACCACCATGTACCCATCCTCTGATGGCTACTTCCAGCAGGATAATGCACCATGTCACAAAGCTCGAATCATTTCAAATTGGTTTCTTGAACATGACAATGAGTTCACTGTACTAGAATGGCCCCCACAGTCACCAGATCTCAACCCAATAGAGCATCTTTGGGATGTGGTGGAACGGGAGCTTCGTGCCCTGGATGTGCATCCCACAAATCTCCATCAACTGCAAGATGCTATCCTATCAATATGGGCCAACATTTCTAAAGAATGCTTTCAGCACCTTGTTGAATCAATGCCACGTAGAATTAAGGCAGTTCTGAAGGCGAAAGGGGGTCAAACACCGTATTAGTATGGTGTTCCTAATAATCCTTTAGGTGAGTGTATATTGAACCTGTTTTCTTACAAAATAATAGATGAGTCAGTGTGACTTGACGACATAATATAAATACACTCATTTACCTCCCAGCTCACGCTACATTTCATAACATGGGATTTTACGGCCATGTGTTGTTGGAGAACCCTGTCGAAACTTATCTTGAATCATATTTCTTTGCATTACCAGCACTCACAGCAGTTGATATATTGAACACATCCCTTCTCATGTGTATGGGTTCAATTCAGTAATTCTGGTCTAAAGTGGAAAATTGTTGAGGCGGGGAAACTTCTTTTCTCGCGCAAATTGTTGAAAATCAAATTTAGGCCATGTAAGTGTGTGATAAGTAGCAGCTTCAAAGGACTCAGCAGCATCGGAAGACTCAACAGACAAAGGAGAAGCAAATATATCTGAAAAGGGGGATTTTTATCTGTAAACTGCCAGGCTGGAATCCAGAAACGCTCCAGGATGTGTGGGACTGTCCTACAGGCTTCTGCTGTTTCGTAATTTCCTGGAGAATTTAGCAATCAACAAACCCGATGATAACCTTTTATTCAGGTCACTGGGAACAAAGAATCGGTGCAGACATTAGTACAGAGACTCCGGTCACCTGTCTCTTCCAAGGTAACAGTTTTCTGGCTCCACCTGATTCATCGTTACTAACTTGCACTTCCTGGTTTAAATGCCAGGTAAACAAATACATAGTTACAATGGACATTCATTGGAACTGAAGTACTGCTTTCTTCTACACGTCTGTTTCTAAGGTACATTTTTCTCTAATCAACTCATTAGTCTTCCAACCACTTTTCCTTTACAGACTGACAGATATTTATTTACTTACTGCCTTTCGCTTAAAA